TTGGGGGGGGGGGGGTGCGAATCCCTGAACAAGCAGCTTAGAGCTGTTCATCCTCCAAGACTAGGCCTCGATGCCAATTGAGATCCCAGTTAACTTCTGAGCACTTGACACTGCAGTCATCAGGAGCTGCCACCAGGGTGAGGCACTGTAGATGTGTGACACAGGCTTCCACCAGAGGCAGACAGGTCAGGGGAGAAGATGGCCTCTTTGATACAATGCTATTTTCCATTTGCTGACATGCTCCACTTGCTAGGCTAGCCTTGTGCCTGACATAAAAGGAGTTCTATGCCCTCCCCCTCCGAGAGCCATTTGCACCCCAAGCCCCTCACCCAAGTGACCAGACTGCCATGGAGGGGTAGGCAGGTGCTCAATGACAACCTGATAACTGGCAATGGCAAGAACAGGGTGTCCCTGGGAGAGGCCCCCCTTCTGCTGAGGAAGCAGCTTTTCTAGTCAAACAATAGTGGCTGTTCCTGGCCTGAGACCAAGCTGGGCCAGACCATAGGAGGAAACAGGGAGGGAGAAACAGACTCTCACTGGAGACACAGCCCCGGCCTAGAACATGTTGTCCTGGCACAGCTGGGGATGCTGAGTCTAGCGAAGTGAGTGGTCACCAGAGGATCTGGGAAGCTCACTCACTCTCTGCCTTCTGCCTCTCACCCCAATGTTTTCCCACTGTCTACACCTGCCATGGTGAGTGGACCCCATCCCTCACCCCTAGTTCTTCAGAGGACAAGCCAGGATGTGGTGGCCGCACAATGTTCCATGAGAATCATCTGGAGCTAGAAAAGCCAGGAACAGGGCTGAGCCCAGCTTCCGTCTGCCTGTAGTACAGGATCCAGCGCATGAAGTCCTGCATGGGCCTGCTGGGTCCCAATCACACCCGAGACTGACTTTACCAGACCTTGTTCAAAGCCTCCAAGCTGAGGCTTGAGTGCCTGGGCCAAATTAGGGCCCCGTGGAGCATGCTGTGTCCTGCCAAGAAACCAACCTGTGTTTGCTCATTCCTGCTCACCCTTGGGGTCTTCTTAAACCTTCAGATGCTTGATCATACCTGGGGTGTCTACCAGTGCTTGGGGCCTTCTTGGATCTGAAGTAAATCTAGATGTGCTCAGGCCAGTTGAGTTCTGCTAATGGTGACAAACTTTAAGGCGACTTCTGCGGGGCTCAAGTCTCTGGCCTGAATACCCAGGGAGCCTCAAATGCAAGAGGCTGTCCCTTCAATGTCTGAGCCCTGGGCCTTCCCAGCTCAGGCACTTCTGGGTTGTTTCTCTGGAATAACCTCAAGCTTCAGAGCCCACTGTATGTTGCTCAGGTGATAGGTCGCTTTTTCTGTGCCTCCCTAGAGAGAAGTATTCAACTCTGGAAGTAGGGTGATTAAAAACCTGGGGCACACAGGCCAGGTTTCTCCTGGTCAAAACGATGGCAAGGTCAATACCAATTTCTGCCAGGGCAGCCCAAGCTTAGTGATCTTTAGTCCCTATCAGTCTCATCAGCTCTGCAGTCCCTGCCCCCAGCAATAAAAGGAAAGACAAAGGCCCCGCCCAGCTGTACCGCGCGCGGGTCTCTGGCCTCCACTCTGGAGCTTTGTGGACAGCATTTCGGCTCCAGCCGAACTCCGTCACGTCTTGAAGCCCTCCCGCGTCTTAATGGCCTCAACCATAAAGCCCCACGTGCAAGTCTGGAGGTTAGATAGGACCCCGAACTTCCGGCACGTTCCCAAACCCAACACTGCCCGCAGCGGAAAGGGCGTAGCCGGGGCGTGGCCTGGAGGCCACCGAGGGGTGGGAGCAGGCAGTGATCCTCAGACTGAGGCTACAGGAATGGACAGCGGGCGAAGGCTGGGTTCGAGGGCAGCCGGCAGCGCTGGGAAAGCAGGGCTCTGGAGGAGGCGTGGTCACTTCGTAGAGGCTGTGGGGCGTGGCCGCCGGAGAGTGGGTCGCTGGCTGGGCGGGGCCGCCGCGTAGCGGGCGGCGTGGAGCCCCTCACCGCGGCTCCTTTAAGCCGGGCGCCGTCCCGCCTCCTGCCTGGGTCTAGCTGGCGGAGGGGCCGTGGCCGTGCGATCTGCGATGGAACTGCACATCCTAGAACACCGGGTGCGGGTCCTGAGTGTCGCCCGCCAGGGCCTCTGGCTCTACACCCACCCACTCATCAAACTGCTCTTCCTGCCCCATCGCAGCCGGTGCGCACCCGGGTTCAGGGGCGCAGGTCAGACGGGAGGGGGCTCCTCTGTCATTCTAGGCCAGGGGCGGAGGATTAGGGCCATCTCGAGGTAGCGGGTACCGGGTGGGGACGCTGTCGGTTCTGGCCACCATCCGGGCCGGGCCTACCCTTTCTGAGACGCCGCCTATCCGGCCCGGAGAGCTCGCCTCCCAGGGCTTGTCAAGGTGCAAACTGCCTGGGATAGGCGTGTAGTGGGGCATGCCTTCCTAGCCCTGCCTTAGCCCTTTCCCAGGCGCCTCGCGTAAAGTTTAAGAATTGTTTAGGGGAACCCAAAGCCCGACACCTCTAGGGTGTGGAATGGAGGGAAGATCTGGAGTTGGAAATCAGCCGGAGATGGGACCCAGACCACGTTGCTCCAGGGAAGGAACTGAGGCCTGAGGGCGGGTCAGGAAGGCGCCCGGCGGGGGGTCCTTTAGTACTGCTGGAACGAAGTTCGCTTGTCCTCTCCAGCCCATTCACTCCAGCCTGAAAGTCTCCCCACCCCTTCCCTCCCCACTAGGTGCAAGTTCTTCAGCCTGACGGAGACCCCGGAAGATTACACACTCATGGTGGATGAGGAGGGTTTTAAAGGTGGGAACTGGCCCCTTGCTCACCAGTAAGCCGTATTCTTACCAAGTGCAGGGATGGATCCAGCTTCCCAAGGTCTCAAAGGCATATGAGTCTGGGTTCGAATCCTCCACCCCTCACTTAAGTTTTCTCTTATGTAAGACATAGTCTTGTCAGTTTAACAGTATTTATGAGAGCTTTATAAACTTAAAGCCCAGGAAGGGCAGGGTGTGAGTCCCAGGCCAGTAAGGGGTGTGTGTGTGGGGGGGGGGGGGTTGTCTCACAGTTTTAGTCCCCATTAAGGGGTTCCTGTAGCTGTTTTAACCCACGGACATTATTTATTCTTGGAATTCTCTCGCCAGTGAAAGCCAGATCCTCCTTTACTGGCCCGGGAAGTCTAGGAGCCTGAGGGTTGGGGAAGGAATGCAGGAGCAGGCAGCAAGCCCAGAGCAGGGTCCTGGGGCCTCCTGGCTGTGTTTGGGCGAACAATAGCCACCCTGGCCCTTGTCCCTGTTCAGCATTGGGACTTGGGAACTGACTTCTGGCTCCCATTTCTGCCTTCCTGGCCTATCCTCTGAGGCCTAGAGTCTCAAGCCAGCCACCTGGAGCTTGGCCTAACCTCCCTCCTGAAGGACTTGGTTTCCCTGTTCTGTAGGGAAATCTCTTGTCTGCAAAGGAGCAACTCCCAATCAGTAGATTGCTTGGCGCCCTCTGGTGGTTCTATGAAGCCTATTAGGCCACAGAAAAGTCCCCAGGAATATCCCATTTTGCAGATAGGAAACAGACTAAACAGGCTTGGAATCACAGTGTTTTAGGAGGCTGTGGCAAGAGGATCAGTTTGGGTTCAAGCCTAGCCTAATTTACATTTTAAGACTCTGTCTCAAAACAAACAATGAAAAGCCACTTACCTCAAGTCACACAGCAAAGGTGAAGCTGGAACTTGAACCTGATTCCGAGTTTGAGAACACCTGCAAACGAAGCAGGGCAGAAATGATAGAAGACAGCCGTGCTCTTCAGACCTCACCTGCCTTGCTGGAACTCACTAAGGCTCACACTAACCAGGCGTGTACCTCCCGCCCACAGAGCTACCCCCATCTGAGTTCCTGCAAGTGGCCGAGGCCACATGGCTGGTGATGAACGTATCATCTCACAGCGGTGCAGTGATGCAGGCTGCTGGAGTTACCAAGATTGCCCGGTCTGTCATTGCCCCACTGGCCGAGCACCACGTGTCTGTGTTGATGTTGTCCACATACCAGACAGACTTCATCCTGGTGGGTTTGGGCAGGTGTTGATACAGGGCATAAGCAGAGGAGCCTGGAGCTGTATAATGTATGTCATTTGCCTTGACCCAGGTACGGGAGCAGGACCTGTCTGTAGTGATCCACACACTGGCCCAGGAGTTCCAAATCTACCGGGAAGTAGGCGGGGAACCTGTGCCTGTTGCCAGGGATGATTCCAGCAATGGCTTTCCCCGAGCCCAGCATGGTAAGGTCTGCCCTCCAACACCCAGATTTAGGTAGGACCTTTTACAGGAGGGCTTGTCCTTGAAAGGGATAGGATGGGTATTTCAATCGGACCAGCAGATACCGTTTCTCAATGTGTGAGACATTGGGATAGGCACACCCAGGCCCTTCCCTTCCCAACCACCAGGGGTCGCCCAAGCCCAGGATTGCCTTTTCACCTTGTGGCCCATGTATCCTGAGCAGGGCCCAGCCCCACGGTGCATCCCATTCAGAGCCCGCAGAACCGATTTTGTGTTCTCACACTGGACCCCGAAACATTGCCGGCTATTGCCACCACCCTCATCGATGTCCTCTTCTACTCACACAGGTGGGCCATGCGTGCACTTTATCTCTGGCCTTACACTAGTGCTTCCTGCACTCTGACCTTTGTCTCATCCATCCCTTCTGTCACTCTGTATCCTGCTCAGTGATTAGGGTTCCTGACAGCCGGTTAACCCTCAGCCAGAGGTGTTGACAGAACCACTCCACGGCCACATACACCCCAGTCAGGCCCTCTGCCCAAGACCCTTGGTCTTTGGCAGTTAGGGTTCATCCCTCAGGAAATTAGGATTCTCTCACAAGGGCCTTCCCAGAGCCATCCATTCTGGTTTTTCCTCTGTGGTCTGGTAGTCAGGAAATGGAGAGGGTCATGTGCCTGGCAGAGCCGTTGACCTTGTCATCCCTCTCCAGTGTCCCCAAGGAGGCAGCCTCAGGTGGTCCTGAGTCAAGCTCCATCCCGTTCTTCGCTTTCTCCCTCATTGAGGGTTACATCTCCATTGTTATGGATGCAGAGACCCAGAAAAAGTATGTAACCCCTTCTTTGACCCAAGAAGGCCATAGCCCCTCAGCCAGTCTCAGGGGAGGAGGAGGGGGAGGTGGGGTGCCATGCTCGGTGGTGGGTAGGAGGACATGCCCTGGGGATCAGGGTAAATAGGGATGCATGAGTGTCCTTTCCATCACCCACCTGCCTCACCAGGTTCCCCAGTGACCTCTTGCTGACCAGTTCCTCTGGAGAGCTGTGGAGGATGGTGCGCATCGGGGGACAGCCCCTGGGTTTCGGTGAGGATCGCTTGCCCCTGTATTGGGGTTAGGGCAAGCCTATGGGTGTCCACAGCATCCACACTGAGACACCTGATCTCCAACCCTCAGATGAATGTGGGATTGTGGCCCAGATCGCGGGTCCCCTGGCGGCTGCTGACATCTCTGCCTATTACATCAGCACCTTCAACTTTGACCATGCCCTGGTGAGTGCCTGGGCTGGGCTGGAGATTCCTGCAAGGTCCCAGAGGTGGGGGGAGGAAGAAATCCCAGCTGATTTAGGGAGCTGGGCATCCCTGGCCAGATTCAGCCCTGGCATTGTATGCTGTGCTCTTACCCAGGTTCCTGAAGACGGGATCAGCAGTGTCATTGATGTACTCCAGCGAAGGCAAGAAGGCCTGGCTTCCAAAGGTCCATAGGGAACACCAGGATCCCAGCATTCTCCTGCCCTGGGCTCTAGAGACTTTTCTGAGCTCTTTCCTGAAGCTGCAGAATGAGCCCCTGATCCTGCCAAGGGACCCTGGTTCTGCATGGAACTGGCATGTGTGGGCAAGTAGGCACCTCTTGGCACAGTGGGCAGTGCTGGCTCCTAATGGCTGCCCACAAAGGACACCTTGGTGCTTGGGGCTTAGACACCCCCCTCCCCCAACCCATCACTTTCTACGTGGCCTCAGCGTTTGCACAGTCCCTGCGTGAGGCCCGAGCCATCCCTCTCTCACCTGGCTGGGTACTTCTGCCTGTGGCTTGGGTTGCCTTCCTGGCCAGGTGAGTTCCAGAAGTGCCTTCCCTTCCTGGGGCTCCCGAGGAAAAGGGTTTTCCCATCTCACTCTTATTTTTATGACTGTTTAAATAAATAAAAGACTTGCTGAGCTGGGCTCTCTGGTTCCGAGTGACAGCCAGTGTCAGGTCTTGATCTCCCAGATTTCTCCCGCCACCTTGACTTTTCAAGCAGTGTGTATCTGTGACAGATGAGCAACTAAAGCCCCCAGCCCATTTGTGCCTAAGTCACATGGTTCCCAACCAAAGCTGCTTGTCTCTAAAGTTTAGAGTCTATATTCATTCTTAGTTACTTCAGGATGACCTAGAGAGCTCTGGACACTGGGAGAAATTCCTCTGTCTCTCACCTAAAAGTCCCCTGGCTGGACACTGGGGAACCTATCCAGGAGGTCCCAAAGCATCTCTCTCCCAGGTTATTGCCTACCTTCCTATGTGCCTTGCCTAAATTCTTATGTCCCTCTTATGGAGGAATCACACAGTTCATGACACTTGGTGGTCAGGCCTTTTCCTGCTGAGGTGCAAGGCTAAGTGGACAGAACAGGACCCAAGAGCCCACTTGGAGCCCTCATTGCCCTCCAGTGCTATATGTGGGCACATCTGGGGCTGGGTTTTTCCATCTTGGGGCCTGCTCAGCAGGACAGGACTCCATTGCAGTGGTCAGGGCCCTACACATGTCTGGGAGGTTATCAGATACCTTCAGCTCAGACCCACCCATGCTCGGGAGGGGAAGAAGGGTGTGACTTCTGTGTACCCAGGTCATAGTGACTCCCCAGAAAAGCCAACACATGGGCTAGGCTTCTGGCAGTATGCCCACTTGGCTCTGGGGACCCCAAGGCTGGAGCCTCAGACTCAGATCCGATGAGTCTAGAGCACAGCCCGGCATGGTGAGTGAGTGGTGAGAGGCCTTGGCTAGTCCTCTTCTTCAGCCTCAGTTTCTCTGTGTCCAGGAATCAATTCCTTCTGGGACCCTGGGAGGGAGCATCTCCTTAGCATTTGTCTGTGGTGGGGAGTGGTATGGAGAAGGCCTGTCTCCTGTAATGGGGGACTACTGTAGGCTCAGACTGGGGGTACAGCCTGCACTAGAGGGAGGTCAGGACGCTCAGGGCTGCCTGTCCTATACACAGCTGGCCCTGTGCCACTTGCTTGGGAGGTTTGCCTGTGAATCACTCAGGTTTGGCTGCTTTTGTCATCCTGGCTCTCAAAAGCCTCAGGCCTCAACCAGGTCCAAACTGGCCCTCGCTGGCTCTCAGGGCTACCCAATATCTGATTCAGCCAGGGGCAAGAACCACGGCCCAGTGAGCTGCTCCGGTGCACCTCAAGGCTGGGGCCACAGGCTGCAGATGCGATGAGTCGCAGAAGCGAAGAGTTGCAGAAGCGATGACTCGAGAGCTCGTTAGGCACAGCCTAGTAAGTGTGTGTCTGTGTGTCTGCTTCTAGCTCTGTCCACATGTGACTTTGTCACTGTGGAGGGCCTTGCCTGTCAAGGCATTGGGATCCTTGGGGTCCCAGGGCTGGGGTTCTAGCCTCTAACGGGCCTTCTATGTTTCAAGGGGCCACAGATATTTGGGGGCACAGGCATAGGGCTTAGAAGGTGCCCAGGGAAGAGGCTTTCACCCCAGCCTGATGCCTCCCAGGAAGCTGGTATTCTGGGTTGGGCCTAGCAGTCTCCAGGCCTCCATGGGGGCCTCTAATCAGTGTGGTTGGCCTGGGCTGGACTTGGCAGGTCTACTCTAGAGGCAATAGAAGGTATGCTTAGGCTTCTATCATGCAGCCCAGGGTTCAGCTCTGGCTGAGATGTGGGCCTGGACAAGTGGAGATGAGACAGGAAGAAGCCTCAGCCAAGGCCGGTTTCTACTCTTTGATCTTGTCAATATACAGGAGTCCATCTCAGGTCATCCTCGAAGATAGGAACAGAAATTCCAGGTTTTTAGACCTCTGCCCTTCTCCTGTCCCAAGAGCTGCCTGGTCCTGTATGTGCCAAATTGCATCACAGTTGGGTTTTCTTTTATTTTTCTTTTTTTTTTTTTTTTTTTTTTTTTTTTTTTTTTTTTTTTTTTTTTATAGGTGTTTTTTTTTTTTTTTTTTTGTTAATGTTGTTTTTTCTGTATTTTGGTTTTTGGTTTTTTGTGTTTTTTTCAGCAGGAGGGGACTCCCAAGTGCTGGGATTAAAGGTGTGCACCACCAACGCCCGGCTCTTTTATTTTTTTTTTAAAAGATTTATTTATTTTATGTCTATAAGTGTTTTGCCTGCACTTGGGGCCTAGTGCCTACAGAGGTTAGAAGAGGGCACTGGATCCCCCAGAACTGGAGTTATGGATTGTGAGCCACCATGTGGCTGCTGGAAACTAAATCCTCATCCTCTGTAAGAGCAACAAATGCTCTTAACCACTGAGTCATCTCTCCAGCCCTCACAGTTGGATTCTTGCTCCTCTGTAGGAGTGAGAAAACAAAGTTCTGGCCACCATGCTGTGCCAGGATCGATATCATGCCCTGCAGGAAAGGCCCAGGCAGGAGCAGGAGGTGAGCTTGCCTGCAGAGGGTGGGCATGCATGCCCACAGGAGGCTGCTTCTCTCTCTGTCTCTCTCACTGATCTCGGTGCCCTTCTCTGTAGGGAAGGGCTGTTAAGGGGAAAAGCCTCTTGATTCACATATGACGCCGTCTTTCTTATCCTCACTTTACATAGATGCAAATGAAGCACAGAGAGAGAGGTGAAGTGACACAGTTGGTGCTAACAAAACTGAGTTTGAAAAGGGTCCATGTGCCCACCAGGCCTGGAGAGAGTGTGTGTGTGTGTGTGTGTGTGTGTGTGTGTGTGTGTGTGTGGAGAGAGAGAGAGAGAGAGAGAGAGAGAGAGAGAGAGAGAGTCTGTAGCTAAGCCCTGAAGGATGGGAAAGATTTGGTAAGAACCCTTGTAATCCAAGCTGTCTGCATTGGTGGCCTGGCATCTGCTTCTGCTGACAGCTGACAGTGGTTGTGTGGGCAGGCACGCGAGGTCTGGCCTTGGCTCCTCCCTGACCCTGGGATGAATAGGGTGGAAGTATTGAGCAATGGCCCCCTGTCTGTGTCTCTTGCCCAAGAGGGCAATAGTGCTGGGGTTCTGAGCCATGGGTTCCTGTCATAGTGGTGCCCAGAGCTTCTTTCCAGGGGATTAGTTGTGGCATCATGTAGATGTAGGTGCTGTGTGAGTATTAAGCGTGTGTGTGTGTGTGTGTGTGTGTGTGTGTGTGTGTGTGTGTGTGTGTGTGCGCGCGCGTGCGTGTGTGGGTGTGGGTGTGGGTGTGTTTGAATACCTATACCTATGCAGGGACAGTGTCCTGGTGTGGTCATTACTCTGTCCTCTGGTGGGCATGCAGATGTCTGTCTGTCTGTGTGTCTGTGGTGTATGGATGTTCACTGTGGACTTGACTCATCTCTGCATGTGTGACTGCATGTGTGTATGAATGGGGGCATGTGCCCTCTACCCCTGTTGCTTCTCTCCAGGGCACCTGTATTCCCAAGGATAAGGCCGCCCCTTGCTCTCCTCCCTGTTTCAGCTCTCCTATTGCCTCCACTTCACCCCACTCTCCGTTACCTCGCCTGCTGCCCCCAAAGCAAGCATGCACGGCTTTCTGCCTAGACCCCACGATGTCACCTGCTCTTCAGCTCCTGCCCCTCCATCAGTTCTTTGGTCAGCACACAACACCTGATGGGTGTTCCTGTCCCTGGTCTCTGCTGGCTTAGTGACTCAATTTCCCTTTCCTGTCGATGCACAGGAGTTGTCCCCAAGCACGTCCCTTGAGGAACACAGCCCTACAGCTATGTTCCTTCTCTGAAAGACCCTGATCTTCCCACTCACTCACGTAACCTTGGAAAGCCCTTAACTTTCCCCATGACTGTCTGTCTGTCTGTCTCCCTCTGTCCTGCATCTTCCCTTCTCCCTCCGCCTCCTTATTTCCTCCCTCCTTTCCATATTGAAAACAAAACCAGGGCTTCTCACATACTGAGTAACACCCTAAGCCCTTGCTGTGTGTGTGTGTGTGTGTGTGTGTGTGTGTGTGTGTGTGTGTGTGTGTTTTATTATTATGTATACAACATCTGCTCCATGTATGTCTGCACACCAGAAGAGGACACCAGATCTCATAACGGATGGTTGTGAGCCACCATGTGGTTGCTGGGGATTGAACTCAGGACCTCTGAAAGAGCAGCCAGTGCTCTTAGCTTCTGAGCCATCTCTCCAGCCCCCTTGCTGTGTTTTTAAAGCCCTTTCTTCATTTCCTTTCTTAGTTTGTATGGTGTATGCATGCATGTACATGTGTGTAAGTGAATGCAGAGATACACACCCTTGGAGGTCAGAGGTCAAAGTCACATGTCTTTCTCTATGGCTTGCCACCTCATTTTTGAGGTAGGGTCTCTTACTGAATTTGGAGCTCCATATTCCTGCCAGATTGGCTGGCCAGTGAGCCTGGGACACACCTGTTCCTGACTCCTGGGGCTGGGGTTTCAGATGCCCACCACCATGCCTGGCTTTTATATGGTGCTGGCCCTCATGCTGGGGCAGCACGCACCTTACCCACTGCCTTCTCAGCTCCCCAACTTAAAAACAAAAAAATTGTTCATTTTTATATGTGAGCATTTTACCTGCATGTATTGTACCACATATGTGCAGTGCCTGCAGATGTCAGAAGAGGGCGTCAGATCCCCAGGAACTGGAGTTAGAGGTGGTTTTGAGTAAATGTGGGGGTGCTGGGAACTGAATTCCGGTCCTTTGCATGAGCAACAAGTGCTCTTAACTGCTGAGCCCATCTCTCCAGCTTCTTCCCCAATTTTGAAATTGACATAAAATTTGCATAATTTTACATTTTTCTTTGTCTCTTGAGGCAGGGTCTTGTTTGTATGTCAGGCTGGCCCAGAATTCATGGTCCTCCTGCCTCAACCTCCCCAGTGCTGGGATTACAGGTATGCTCACAGCTATTTTAAATCAAGTGATTCAGTGATATTTGGCACATTCACCTCAAAACCTTTTCATCAGCCGGTCGTTGGTGGTACACGCCTTTAATCCCAGCATTCGGGAGGCAGAGTCAGGTGGATCTCTGTGAGTTTGAGACCAGCCTGGTCTACAAGAGCTACTTCCAGGGCAGCCTCCAAACC